TGTCAGTTTTCTGGGGGATTTTTTTTTTTTGCACCTGTATTATTAAATAACTAATGCCATTGGCTTGTCATTTTCTCCTTTTGCTTCTCTGTATTTGTATGTGTATATATGCATTGTAGGTTCTGAAAGCAGGATCATGCTAGCTTGTGGAAATAGAGAGGTTCCACTTTTCTACATACTCCAGAGCCCTCTACCTAACACATAATTTCCTATCTTTGCTATGAAATTCTCTGAACTTCTGAGATCCGATATAGTAGATTTATGCTCATATTGAGCACCTGAAATGTGGGTGCTGCAACTGGGGAAATGGATTTTAAAATGTTATCTGTAATTTTCATTAACTTGATCTATAATTACACTTATAAATTAATATTCATTTCAGTTTTAGAAAGCTTTTAAGTGTGTTTGGAACCATCTGGATATGTGAGAGTATGTTTTGTAAATTATATACAATCTAAATATACAGAAGTATTTTGGATGAAAGCTTTGCAATTTGATTGAAATATATTTTAAATGCAACATGAAATTTGAAAGGTTAAGTATCCAAAAGAAGATAATGTGGGGAGCAAACCGGACTAGACTGTTACTGGAATTAAGACTTATTCTATGCATCTGCTCTCCCACAATATGGCGCTGGGAGAGAAGTAAACAGCTTCCGCACAGCTGCCTCCAGTTCAACCAATTAACTGTAGGACTTGCTCCTGATTGGAGGAGAGCAGCGTACTCGGCGTGTGGGCAGCCGAGTTGGGATTGGCGGAGGAGGACTATAAAGGAGGAGAGAGACGGCATGCACCAGGAACATCTATGGGGAACATCTAGCTGAAGGAACACCCGTGCAGCCCCCGAGAGACCCGGCCGGCGGTGTGCCGCTCCCCTGCGGAAGTGGGGAATGCGGCCAGGGGGAACTGCCCTTCCACGGAGGTGGAAGGGATAGTAGCCAACCCGGGAAGAACCAGCAGCAAACCCGGGGAGGGCCGAGCAGACAAAAAGAACAGCGCAGGGTTCAGTGTTGCTCCTCCACGAAGAGGGGGAGCGACATAATGGTGCCGTGACTCGGATATGAAGCCTAGGCAGGGCTTAGTGTTGCTCCTCCATGAAGAGGGGGAGCGACATAATGGTGCCGTGACTCGGATAGGAAACTTAGGACGGATATGAAACTTAGGAGGGAAGAAACGGGAAGAACTAGGGAAAATATCGGAGAGAGAAACTAGCAAACAGCCTAGGGAAAAGCCGGACGAAAAAGGAGCCGGAAGAAGCTATTGAAAGCCTAGGCATAGACTCGGATACGGACTGCGGGGGGAAGCTGGGAGAAATCTCTAAGGTCGAAAGCGAAAGTGAAAGCTAGAACAAACAGACTCGGACGCGGACTGTGGGGAGAGGCCAGGAGAAATGAGGGAGGAATATCGTTGGAGGAAAGCTTGGGGAAACATACCGGGTAGAGAAAACTGTTAGGGAAATTGAAGCCGCGGGGGGCAGGCCAAGGCGGAAACGAAAGCCACTTTGGGGTTCTCAGGTTAGCCCGGGAATAGGGGGCGGAAAGTTGAAACCAGAAGCTGAGACGTAAGCCAGATTGGGATCCGTCTGATTAGCCCGGGGAGCAAAGGACGGGAAGCCAAATCGTGGGGCGGAGACGTACGCTGGGTTGAATTCGCCAGGCTAGCCCGGGGAACTTGAATTGAATGCTAGTGGTGGAGACGCAAGCTACGCTGTGTTACTCGCGGAAGCCGCCGCGTGCAGAGAGAGCACGGGGCGTGAATAGATAGGGAACGCTGGCGTAGGCCGTGGTTCAGACGCGAAAGGGTTAAGCGTGGAGACCGCGGAGCGCGCGAACCCGAGCCGCGCAAAGCCGGGAAGCTGCGCAGATGAGAGAGGCGCGCGGGCTGAAGCGGCGCAGAGCCGGGAACCCGCCGGCGGGGCGAGGTGCCGGAAAGCCGCAGGGATAAGAGAAACAGAAGTTTGGAAGTGAAGTAAAAGAGAAATGGGAATGCTGGAAGATAGAAGTAAAATGGGAGGTAGGAATGCCCGGAGATAGAGAAATAGAGAAAAATAAGGCCTCCCCTCAACATGCCAATTAGAAGGCTTGGATTCGGTCTGCCCGATTAGTGAGGCGATGAGCACCTGGGCGGCTAGCCGCAGGTCACCGAAGACAGGCACGAATTAACATCAGTAAAGCTTCCCCACAATGCAACAATTAGGAGGCTTGGATTCGGTCTGCCTGATTTAAGGCGGTAAGCGCCAGCAAAGCTCGACCAGAGTATGAGCTGCAGGTCACCGAAGATAGGCACGAACCAACACTAATAAGTCTCCCCCACAATATGGCAATGAGAAGGCTTGGATTCGGTTTGCCTGATAGGTTTTGTAAACACCTGCAGGCAGTTCTAGCAGAGCAGAGCATGCGCTGCAGGGCACCGAACACAGGCACGCATCAGCGCCTAAAAACCTCCTCACAATGGCGAAGAGAGGACCCGGATTCGGTTTTCCTGATTGATAGGACTTGTAAGAGCCTGTGGCAACTCTAGCAAGTAGAGCAGAGTGTGTGCCGCGGGACACCGAAGACAGGCGCGTATCAACGCTAAAAAATAAAAAGAAAGGGGGATCTGTGGGGAGCAAACCGGACTAGACTGTTACTGGAATTAAGACTTATTCTATGCATCTGCTCTCCCACAATATGGCGCTGGGAGAGAAGTAAACAGCTTCCGCACAGCTGCCTCCAGTTCAACCAATTAACTGTAGGACTTGCTCCTGATTGGAGGAGAGCAGCGTACTCGGCGTGTGGGCAGCCGAGTTGGGATTGGCGGAGGAGGACTATAAAGGAGGAGAGAGACGGCATGCACCAGGAACATCTATGGGGAACATCTAGCTGAAGGAACACCCGTGCAGCCCCCGAGAGACCCGGCCGGCGGTGTGCCGCTCCCCTGCGGAAGTGGGGAATGCGGCCAGGGGGAACTGCCCTTCCACGGAGGTGGAAGGGATAGTAGCCAACCCGGGAAGAACCAGCAGCAAACCCGGGGAGGGCCGAGCAGACAAAAAGAACAGCGCAGGGTTCAGTGTTGCTCCTCCACGAAGAGGGGGAGCGACAAGATAAAACTAATTTTTATATTGATTTCATGATAGAATGATAATCTTTTATATATATTGAAACATATTAAAACTAATGTTACCTGTTCCTTTTTATACTTTTGGTATTGCTTAGAAAATTTAAAATTGCGTGCATGGCTCATGTTTGTTGACAGGGCATTATATTTCTGCTAGCACTGTTCTAAACCATAAACTTCCCTAAAGTTGAAAACTCTGTTTCTTCCAGATTTATGGGTTGTTCAGTTTTTCTGTATCTTCTTAATAAAGCTTGTTAATTTATATTTCACTCAAAAATTTTACTTCAAATATTACTTCAAAAATTACTTCAAATTTTACTTCAAATGTATAAATATAGAACTTTGTAGATATTATCTTTAATTATTCATGAGGTTCACAGTAAATCAGCTTTGAGATATACATTCTGTTTTATGGGTTTTGATGAATTATGTATCTGATGTTTATCGATTGCTCTTTTTTGAAGTTTATTGATTCTAACATATTTTTAGAATTAGCCAGTTACTACTTTTTTAATTTAAGAATTTAAGAATTGTATTTTTAGGCTGGCGCCGCGGCTCAATAGGCTATTCCTCCGCCTAGGGGTGCCGGCACCCTGGGTTCTAGTCCCAGTTGGGGCACTGGATTCTGTCCCGGTTGCCCCTCTTCCAGGCCAGCTCTCTGCTGTGGCCCAGGAGTGCAGTGGAGGATGGCCCAAGTGCTTGGGCCCTGGACCCCATGGGGGACCAGGATAAGTACCTGGCTCCTGCCATCGGATCAGCGCCAGCCGCGGCGGCCATTGGAGGGTGAACCAACGGCAAAAGGAAGACCTTTCTCTCTGTCTCTCTCTCTCACTGTCCACTCTGCCTGTCAAAAAAAAAAATTGTATTTTTAATTTCTCTTCTGATCAAAATTTCATTTTTTTACAAAAGAGTATACCAATGAATAAAGATGCCAGCATTTATTTTCTTATAACACAAATTATTTTTCCTGAGGTATATTGCCTTTTAATTGATTAGACACATTTTAATCCAGCAAGGTTTTTTCAACATATTCCAGGAAACTTTTTTCTTACAATATTACATTTAAAAATATTTACTGCATATAAATTTCATTCTTTCATTCCTTTCTTGCTTTATAGAGAGAACAATCACACTGTACTTAAAAAATAGTCAATAACAGAAACAACACTTAACATGTTCCAGGTATGTGCTAACCTCATCACCAGAATGATCATATTTAGGTCTCACCATTGATCTGTGAAGCCTGCACTCTTATTACCTGAGTTTGTAGATGGGGAAACCAGGCCACAAAAGATGAACACATACATGGTTGTCCAGCTGTCGACCTTGATCTTCAGTCTTCATAAGCCTAACTTGAGAGATCAACCTTTTATCTAACCCACAATAATGTGTCTCTTACACATTATTAGAAAAACATAATAATAAAGCTCTTCATATAACATCATGACATCAACATAGTTTATACCATGACTCAGTTGCCAGGCATTTATCATGTGCAGATACATTTAGTGTTAATAAATTGTCTATGCTATCACTATGTCCTCTGGACTTGGGTTTCCCATAGCAAAATCTTTTATTCATCTGAGGAGAGGTATTCTTTTTAAAACAATTGTTTCCCTTCATCATTTTCAGTGACAGGGGAAGAATAGATGCCATTAGGCCATTTTTTATACATTATATCTTCAGACTGGGATTTTTTGGAACCTCACTTAGATAAATGTAAGTGGCAGAAAAGGAGAATTGAATGACCAAAGGCAAATCTCTGTCTTCCTGTCTCTGCACTCAATCTCATTTGATATTAAATAACTTTTCAAATGAACTCAACTGCAATATTAGCTCTTTAAAAAATGTAGGTATTTAATGACAATGTTCCATTACTGTGTGATTCTTTTCTTTCTTTTAAAGATAGTGTTTTTAGAAGAAGCATCTCAACAAGAAAGGCTGGCCAAGGAATGGTGCTTCAAGCCGTGTGAAATAAGAGAACTGAGTCACCAGTAAGTCATCACCAACTTCTTCTTTATTGCTGGGTGCCATTAATGAGACTTAAATGATAGGGAAACTGCCTTGGGAGACAGACAGTGTCACAAGAAGTCGGGGGATGGAAACTGAGAACAAGACTGCCATCATTATTTCATTTCTTCAGCAGGTATTTGTGCAGCCTACTATGTGTAGCACTATAATCTGGAGTGGAAAAGATATTCAAGGTCCTTGTTCTCAATAGATTGGCAGCTCATGGGTTATGCAGACAATCAAGTCTACAGATACATACACGTGACAGTGATAGACTGAAGTCTTCTATAAAGGAAGTCAGAGGGAGGGCTGTGGCACAGATGAGCTATTGGGAAGTGGGAGGGGGAGAGAATTTGTAGAGCAGTTACTCAGGGAATAGGGAAGACCTATTCTAGAAGTATATTTGAGCTGCGATTTTAGTGTTTTTTAATATTTGCCTAAAGGATGTTTCCTGTGATTGGCTCACTGTCTTCATAGCCTGATTGGTAAAATTGGTACCATTTTCCTTCTGGAAATACAATTTTCATAGAAAACTTTTATTTAATAAATTTCAAAAGTACAACTTTTGGATTATAATGGTTCTTCCCCCCACAACCACCCTCCCACCCGCAAACTGTCCCATCATTTGGAAATTAATTTTAGGGTAATGTAGTGAGAGGAGCATTGAGCTGGGGATTAAAACACCCAGTTTGAACCATAATACTAAACTTTATTGCAGTAAGGTGTAAAGCATGCCATTTCTGTTCCTTGAGTTCATTTGGCTGTAAAGCTCGTGTCTGGTCACAGCCCAGAGAGGCAGGATGACTGTTTCTGAAGTTTCATTGCACTTGCAGCAGGCTCTCACCTTCTCCCTCCTCCTCGCTTCCCAGCAAGATGTTGCTTATTTCACAGCCTTGCATTTCTTGTTCAAAGGGCCAGTCCTGAGGTCCTCAGATCAATGGGAGCATGACGTGCCATCAGGGCAGGTTGACAAGGATAACCTTGGTGTGCAAAGAGACTGGGCATTGCAGGCCTGTCTGTAATCTTACATTGCGAGTGTCAGTGCATGTTCTGATAGATCTATTTGGGTTATGCATTGTTCTCTTTTGCCAAATTATGATAGGACTTGCCTAGCATTGCAGGTTTTGGATGTGAAGTTGATGATTTTACCTGGAGGACCAAGATTTTCTAAGGAAATTCTGATGGTGATTAAGTAAGGTGTCGAGGGGAAAGCTGAAGTCAGAGGGAGGAAGAAAAACTTCCCTTCTGCTGCATCCTCCAGACCTTCTCTGCTTTGCCTGAAACTTGGTTTTTGATAGCTGTGATTTAGCCATAAGTGGTGCTGTGGGTGAATGGAGAACAGAGCTCTAATCCCAGCTGGGTCTCTAACACATTGCAAGTCTGAAAATGACCTTGCCATTCTCAAACAGCCATGTGCTCTCGCTGCAAAATGAGGAAGTGAGCCCTCTGACCTCTGATCTCCCATGCTGCTTCCACAGCTCATGGCCTCTGCACGTACTGATAGCTGCGATAAATCCTGCACTATAACCTTGATGATGTGAAGTTTTCTATTTAGAGGCATTTTACAATGTGTCCTATCTCCTAAAAGGAGTTGCAGCTTTTCTGGGTGAAAGTTGAATGACAGGTTCAATAAACCTCTGCCCTCTGTTGCCTCTGAACACTTTGTACCTGAGTTATCTCCTTTGCTTTCATTTCTGCTGCTGGGTGAGCAGTGACTTGCTATCTTCCACCTCCTAACTTTCACTAGCGATTTGGAATGGAACTTTCCATCTGCCCATGATTTCTGTAACACCTGTCTTTCAGGTCATCACTTTCTCCCCAGCACTATGCTAGAGACTCAATGGGTACTTTTTAAATTAAAGACCTAATTGCTCTGTAATCAAGGGTCTCCCAGTCATTGCACTGGTGTCCAGGTTCTTTCCTGAGGTTACACATCTTTGACCCTTATGGTTTTGCCCTGTCCCTTCTTGAAACTCTCCCTTCCTTACTGTCCTTGATGAGCTGTGCCCTGGGTACCCTCATCCTCCTAACAGTCCGCCAAGACCAGTCATGACCTTCTCTTCCTTGAAGTTACTCCTGGAGTCTGGAGTGCTGTGCAAGGTTTAGTTTCGTTCTTTCTTCTCCACAAATCTCTAGTACAACTATTTTGTAAGGTTGTTTACATAAAGAAGATTCTTAAATCTGAATCCCATCTTTAATTCCCATATGACCTCTTATCCCACATCTCCACTTACTCCTTGGACACATGAATATCACACTTTGATGCTAAGCTTAGAATGACATCACATACAACCCCTCCAAAACAGACTTTCCTTCTAAATTCTCTGTGGTTTATGTCATATGTTCAGCTCACTGTTCAAAACCTTACACTGACTCATTTCTCTCCTTCCCTTCCTAGATCTAATAAAAGATTGAGTTCTTTATCTCATATTCATACTTTCCCTTTCTGTTCTATAATTTTTATTCAGAATCTCATGTTTGGGAGGTTGCAGGAGTCTCCCAACACGTGCGCACCACCACCAGATTCATCATCCTAAACCCAAGATGCAATATGTCACAGCCTGCCAACTAAAACAAGAAACAGAAACAAATATTCTCTCAATCCCCTCCTCCTTGACTACAAAATACCCTATGTGTGTTAAATCAGTAAATCAAGTAATTAAGACCCTCTTTAAGAAAAACTTTCCTGTTGTTTTCTTAGGAAAACTTTCTATATACTGAAATGCATAAATCTCAAGTATATAATTTGATATGTTTTGAGATACACACACACACACACACACACACACACACCCCTATTTAATTGAAACACCAGTCAAAATGGAACATGCTTATCTTAGAAAGTTCCCTTGAGTTTCTTCTGGTAACTCCCTAGCCTCTGATTCCTGTCACATGGATGTCTTTTGCCTGTTTTTGGATGTCACATAAATAGAATGACACAGTGTATACCCATATTCTTTGTGTCTGGATTCTCCCATTCAACAGCATGTTTTTGAGATTCATCTATATTGTTACATGCATCAATAGTTTAGTCTTTTTAATGCTTAGTAGTATTATATTGTACCATAGGTTTTTAAAAATTTCTGTTTTCTGTGATGGGTATTTAAGTGATTTCTACTTTAAGGTTCATATAAATAAAGCTGCTGTAAACATTTTTGTGCAACCCCTTTTTAAAAAAAAATGTATGTCTTGTTTTACTTGTATAAATATTCAGGAGTGAGATGATGGTACCTTAAGACCCTTTATGTTTAATCAGATTCATTCTCTCTCTCTCTGTCTCTCTGTCTCTCTGTCTCTCTGTCTCTCTTACACACACACACACACACACACACACGTGCACGCTGTCAGTCAACCATACTCTAAACCGCATTATAAAGTGTTTGAGGACAAGAATTTGCTACAAGAAGTTGCCTTATTCTTCTTTGGACTCCCCACAGGCTTAGCAGAGTTCCTTAAACATAGCAAGATACTTGGGAAATACCTATTACTTGCTGGCACAGTTCAGCCACGTGAAGAAGTCACACTGCCTTTTCACTGTATGCAATGGGGAAAGCAAAAGAAAAGGACTGTCAGGTCGTGGAGAGCAGTGACTGACTCTGAACACCTACTCATCCTCCCTCTCTGTGTTCCACTTGCACCATAGGCCTGCTTAACACTGCCTCCCTGCCACACTTACAAGGTGTCACAGCGCTTCACTTCCATAGGGAATTGTCACCCTGAAGTATAGTCACCGAGAGTACTGAGCCTACAGACAATGTACCTGGCTTGGACTTTCAGCTCCAGAGCCGACTAATGATTTCTTTTTTCCAAGCTACTTAACTGTCTGAAACTTTACCGTACCCTGTATAAATGAAGGTAACAATACTCTCTGTGTCAAAAGTTTTATGTGAGCATTACCTCATCACCAGCGACATTTATTGATGCTTTCCATTATCTAGGCAATATTCTTAAACTAACTGGTCCTCAGAGTAGCCCCTTGTGCTACTACCATCTCCATTTTTATATAAGGGAAACTAAGTCACAGACAGAGAAAATAACATGTGGAATATCCATCTGCTGGTGTATAGTGAGGCTTCATGTCCAGGCAGTCTGAGCCCAGAGTGCATACCCTCCAGCTCTGTGATAATCTGTCTCCCTCTACTGAGATAGTACACATAGAATGCAGTACCCAGAGTACCCAGTGACTAGTATGTGTAGTTATTCTGTAAATCCTAACTGCTGTCACTGTCATCATGCTCATCTCACCATCACCACCATTCCTAGCTCTGTTTTTAAAACAAAACATTGAGGGCTGCCCATAACTTTATTTGCCATACATTTGGCAACATAGGGAGTCTTGTCAGTATCTACTTTCAAGTTCAAATTCTTTATGCAATGTAATATTTTCTCAGGCTGATGGTGGTGGTGGTGCACACCTTTGTTCAGCATATGTCTATCTGGATAAGGTTAGGCACTTAAGAGACACTAGTGAATTCGATTAGTTCTTTACAAAAGCTTTAAGTTTTTGCTAGTAATGAGCTATCTCAATTCTGTGAATAATGTCTCTGAAGACTTAAAAATGTCTTTCCAGAACTTGGTAGTATAGGAATTAGTAGAAATGAGAATATTAATTGGTGGATCAGAATAACAGAAGGAGTGATCGAAACATCAAGAGATGCTTGTCACAGCATCACTACTGCCACTTCACCTAGGTATACCACTGACCCATTTGTGTTCCTGTCTCCTAAGACTGAGTGTCTGTACCCAGCTGCTTCTATTTCAGAACTCAGTCCCTTCAGCAGAAGGAGAACTAAATTTCTTGCCAAGGTCAAGATAGCTGCTGAATCTAAAACTGCAGCCAGTCTGTTTCTCACCTTCTGCCTCCCTTAGTGACTTGTGTGTACCATCCTTGACCTGGCTTTGAAGACTCCCCAGCTCCCAATCCCATCTTTGTTCTCTCCTACAGCCACTGGTTCAGAGAACGAAGTCATGGAGTAAGTCATAGCTTCCCTGTTTCTTAGGCCTTGCTCCTATTTGGTGCTGTATTTTCCACCCCTCACCATGTTTATTTAGCCTCACAGCCACCATGTAAACTTAGCAGCTGTACCCTCCCTAGCAGAGCTTTATTTTGGTTTCCTGATCCCTAAATATCAGAAGAATTTAGTTATTTGGTTGCATCAGTTTTAATCCTGTGTGAGATGAACAATTAAATCATTGTCAAGAGAAAATGTGATTTAAAGACATGGGAAATGACTAAAGATGTTATTAACTACTTCTCTCCTTATCTTAATTTCCAGTGAGTTCTTCATGCCTGGGCTGGTTGACACTCACATCCACGCCCCTCAGTATTTCTTTGCTGGAAGTAACGTAGATCTACCACTTTTGGAGTGGTTGGCCAAGTACACATTTCCTTCAGAACACAAGTTCAGGAACATCGACTTTGCTGAAGAAGTCTACACCAGAGTTGTTGTAAGTATCCCGTGCGTGAGTATTGAGTTATGGTTGGTCATCCATAGCAACATCCATGTCTTCAGACAGATTTCAGTTATAAATTATAGGTACTTAAGACGAAGAAAGACCAAAGAGAATTTTCCACTCCTTTGTGACCATCTCACTTACATAGCTGGTCAGTGGTAAAGAGAATTTGAATCCAAGTTCCTGAATACCCATTCTGGTTGGCTCTATGTTACTCTCTTTTTCTTATTATGTTTCACATTATCAAATTTGACTTAAATGCATATGTGTGTTTCCTGCCCCTGCCAATTCATAATTCTGTTCTTAGGACCATATGGATTAGATAGAGACCTTTGGAAGGTTATGTGACACACTTTTCCCATCTGTAAAAAATACAAATAATGATAATACCTACTTCCTAGAATTATTATGGTAATTCAAGTTAATATTTGTGAGGTTCTTAAAATGGTGTCTAACACGTGATAAAAACTATATAGTTTTTTTTAAAAAAAATACCCAAGGAAATCTAAAATTAAAATAGTCAATTACTTTTGGAAAGATAGCATGTTGTTTTTGTAGCTCTGCAGGGAAGGAAAAAAGGATAGTGCCTTACCACAGAGCACATGGGACTGACGAGCGTTAGCACCACTAGAGGGAACTCTGGGGCTAGTTCAGTCATTGAACAGTGGTTCCAGTGTATGTGCCAACTGAACCAAGTCACTTCAAGAAGTTCGTGGAAAATGGAATTAAAAGATGAGTTTAGTTTTATGTGAAAAATGTGGAGCTCTAACCTTTTTTTAGAATATGAATTTTCATGAACATTTTGAAGACTCCTTATATGCATGGATTTCAAAATTATTTTACATCAAAATAAACATTTTAATTCTATATTCTCTGAACTTTTTGAAGTCTCCTCATATTTTGAAAGTTCTGAAAATGTTCTCCCTTCTACTTTCAAGGAAATTACTTCCTTTTTTTCTGTTCTAAGCCTATGCCCTGTACCAGAATACACGTAGCAACCAGAAGCAACTTCTGCAACAGTGAAATCAAAACTACAAATGCCTTTTGGTCTGGCCACTGCCTGCTGTTGTTCAGCACATATGGTCTGAATACTGCTGGGTTTTTGTGGGGTCCGCTGAGGGTTTTTCTCCTAAGGTCTTGACTATTTGGTGGGACAGTATTTCAGGCCTCCTGGTTATTGGCCTAGTCAGCCTGCCAGTTTGCCTTGTCTTACATCATTCCACCCTTAGACTAAAAGCAAGCACAAACATTTACACACTTGCCTCACTTAATTATAAATTCAGTGTAATTGCGGAACCCACGTATTTAACTTGCATCCACATGACACCAGAAAAACTGAGGACAAAAGTTATGAATGAAACTGCTGCTGCAATGTGTTAATGAACTGTGCTAACCATACCAAATCTTTATCCTCAAAACTTATTTATACCTTGCATTGGTCTGAAGGGGATTTGAGTTGGTTAAAATTGCACAGTCTGCAATAAAATGAAATAAAATAACTGAAAAGGAAAAAAAAAGATGGGAGGAAAAAAAAAAAAAAAAAAAACAAGAAGTAAATCCATGCCATTGAGTATGCACCTGTTAGGGTTAGTCACGAATTTGGCTTTAAGTCTTCTAGTGCCTGACCCAGGGAGGTAAAAAATTAAATTTACACTCTGCATATGATAAAAGAACACATTTGTTAAGATAAAGCCTATCTAGTTCCCATATCAAAACTTAAGAAAATTAGTCTCAATATTTCTTAATGTGGATAGATGCTGTTTTCTCAAAACCTATGAGTCTACTTCAGAAAATTCCTGACAAAATAGAATAAAAAGATAAGTTATGTTGGTGCAAAATTTTGAATTCCATGTGTAGGGTTTTTCATAATAAACATTTCTGTGAACACTTTGAAGTACCTTCTTACATTATGAAGATGCTCAATATCAGAAAGTTCAAATGTAGCAATCTTTGTGTTTTTTTTGTTGTTGTTGTTCAGAGAGATACAGTGTCAAGGACTGAATATACTTCAGGCAATACTCCATAAACATTATTTCTTACACCAGAGATTTAAGCATTTGATGTCAATGAATACAAACTAGGTTTTATTTCTAACAAGCATTTGCAATGCATATATCACATGTTTCCGGTTATTTGCAAGCCCACACATTTTGACACATGGATGAGCTGATGGTTAACATCTGTGTCATAGGGATGAACCTGTCTCTAAGCTGAAGGATTTCCGAGATAATGCAAAGGGATATGAAAGACGTACACATGAATAAAACTAAAAATTCTTTTGTTTTCTATTTCCTCCCCCAGAAAACAGGTATAGATATATTTCAGCAAACTCACACCATACATTGTGGCAGAGATAATTTAATCTGCCAATAATTTAACACATATTTTAGTAAATATCTCTTAAGTGAAACCTAGAATATCTCCAGTTAACCACTGCAAACTGGATGAGAGATTTTAATTTCAAATGGAACTGGAATAAGCTAAAAAAAAAAGTCTAGAAAGTTCAAGAATCTTCCCAAATTATAGTTAAGGAACAGGAGAGTAAGTATACTAAGACAACCAGTTGCAAGTATTCTCCTGGATAACAGAATGAATGGTTATCTTATGGAGTTGTCAGTCACTGGGCAGATGAATAAGGAATCCAACCAATTCCAAAGACACATGGTGAGTCAGACCACCTATTTTAGCTACTGGAAATCACCCAACTTATTAAAAGTCCATTGCTACTGGCCTAGAAGTTCATGGTCATCTTAACTTTGGAATCCATTTTGAGCTCACAAAACTTGATCTCAAAACCCTTTCTGTCAAAAATTGTAGGTCAGGGAAGGGTTGAGAAACACAGCCAGAAGTTTGCTGACGTTCTTGATAGACTTATTTACAAGTTAGAAAACTCCATATTTGTTATTAGTTCTCTCTAACACTTGTGAGGAACTAGAGTAGGATAGTGGCTTGGGGGAAACCCACACAGAAAGTGTGAATAAATAAAGTAGCTCATTTTAGAGTAAAATTTTTAATCCAAACTCCTTTTTTTTTCTAACTATGTAAGTAACAAATGTGTAGCTTGGGTATTTAAATAAATGAACTCAAATGAAAGCAAACAGGAGTAGTTTCTGGATTCTTTCCCCCATCTCTCTCCCTTCCATCTTCTTTTCTTCTTTTTTCTTTTCTCTGTGGGCTCTTGCTGTCCTCTTCTTTGACTATAATTTGGGAAGATTCTTGAACTTTCTTAACTTTTTAGTTCATTCCATTACAATTTGAAACCACAATTTCCCAAGCAGTTAAACTTCTCCTCCTCTAAGCCACACATTCCCTCGCTCAGTCTTGACCTCCAGACAGGGATTAAATTCCCAGCCTCTGTGTGGTGCTTCCATTGTATTCATTGCTAGATGGCCACATTTTTGTTTCATCTTCAAGCCAAGATTGTAGACAGGTTATTATTAATTTTGAGAGTTTAGAAAAATTTGGATTATGTTTTTGTTTTAATTTTATTTTATTCTAGTTGGTTAGTCACTTTAACCAGTATCATTTTGGGTGGTGGGAAGGATAGTAGAAACTTATTTTGTGATCTAATCCAAGGTTAATTTTTATGATTCTATTCTTCTGTTTAAAGATAGATGTTTTTCCTGTTGATATGGCATTATTTGTATCTCTGATATGAAGTCTTACATTATTTACTCTAAATTGCCCCATATAACAAGGTAAGAACATTCATGTTCTCTTCCCTTCTTTATCACTTCCTACTTTGCCATGTCCTATGTTTTATCATCTGAGATTTTAGTTCCAGTGTATTTTTTCACCATGTATGCTTAATTTAAGATGTTTTAATTTTAATTTTAAAATCAGGTTTAGTTTAATCAAAATTTATTTTTTTTAAATGTTTATTTTTTCATCTACTTAAAAGGCATACCAGAGAGAGACAGAGACAGAGAGCCAGATAGAGATCTTCCATCTGCTGGTTCACTCCCCAAATGCCCATAACAGCTAGGGCTAGGCCAGGCTAAAATCAGGAGCCCAAAACTACATCTGGGTCTCCCACAGAGGTGACAGGGGCCCAAGCAGCTGAGCCATTATTTGCTGCCTCCAAGGACACGTTGGCAAGAAGCTCAATCAGAAGTGACTTGAACTGGCATTCCAGTACAGAATGAGAGCATTTGAAGCTGCAGCCAAAGCCACCACAACACAATACCTGCCCCCAGTTTCCTTTTTAACATCTGTACTTTAATGATGGGCTTTATTTTTTCTTTTACTACTGGGATCCCTGTTTTTGAATGCATTCTTCATTTTGTTAGGACACAAGTTGTGACAATCCTTTCCAATAAACTTGGGTGACAAACATTCCAAATCCTTGAATTACATAAAGGTTTATTTTCCTCTTACTCTTGAATGGTATTATATTTGAAAGGATTTGCCTAACAGCATTGAATAAGCAGATGATAATCTGATTCTCATTCCTTTTCCACTAATTTGCTGGCCTTCAGGATATTTTTGTTTATTCTTCATATTCTGAAATTTCAATTGTAGATTAATTTTCCAGTTCATTTTCTTGATTACATAGACCTCTGCATTCTCTCCAATCCATTTTTCTTTTGATGTTTTCTAGAAAAATATTGAAACTTCTGGATCTATTTTTGTGTCTCTGAAGTTCGTCCTTAGAGAAAGCATGGCCCGATTTTGGAAAGCATTAATTCAATCTTACTGTTACAATAGCCTGTTCCCTTTTTCAAGGAGACAATATCTTGTTCATATAAAGAAGCCACTTGTATATGTCTCTTATTTTAGTAATTTTGCTTCCTCACATGTTCATTCAATAAACACTTAGCTCACGCAGGGGTCCAGATACTTCTCTAATTGCTGGAGATTAAATTTGATGCCTCTGTCATGGTGAGAGCTTTTCTATGGGACTTGCCATGTTAAGGGAGATTGTGAGAGCATCTGTGTTTATAGTTTAGGATCTAAACACCCTCTACAGGTAGCTAAATGTACTTTATTTATGTGCAACATTTCTTAAGATTTGGACAGGTTGATATAAAACTTCAGATACAAATGCTCTTGACCTTTGGGATTAGTTAACATCATTGTTCAACAATGACTAGAAAGCTGAGTAGAGCATGCACTTCCTGTGATATTCACTCCAAACCTCGTCTCTCCTGCTGACACCTGAGCTTCTGACTGCTGTTCCAGTCAAGCCTTTTTATTTCACAAAGGAGGAAATGGATGCTGAGAAAGTAGTTTTCTCAGGTCTTATAGCTAAAAATGGGCAAAAGACAAGAAAGAACCCCATTCAGGGAATTTTCCTCTGCACTTACAGAATCTTCTGCTAAAGACTGAACCGTAAGTAGTCAGGTCAACCAGGCCTTCTCCCAGGGGCTCCAACAGGTCAGACATTACCAATCCTGTCTTCTTCCTTGAAGATCCTCCCATGTCCTGTCAGTCTCTTGTTTCCTTCTTGATATTACTGGGCATTCCCTTATCCTCTGTCATGCTTAGTCCCTATTCCCTGGATCCAGGAATTCCTTTTCTTTCTATCTCTCTCTCATTTTGCCATAGCACATCTACTAGGTGCTTCCGAAAACAGTGTTCATGGAGGGTAAAATTTTCACATCTTTCAAATGCACTCCACCTTCACATATCTTTACTCTGTGTATTCTCTATTCTGCATTCACATACCTCTGTTTGTGTCTGTTCACACTTGATTGATAATTTACCAGGGTATAAAACTCTACCTTAAAAATAACTTCGCCAGAATTTTGAAGGTGTTCTGCCTCCAGCATGTTGGTAAAAAAGCAAAAAATCCAGCACCACTGTGATTTCTGTCATTTGTCTATGACTGGTTTTCTTTTTCTGGGAGCTTTTGGTGTCTTTTCTTTACTCAAAGACTTAATATCTCACAGTTATATGAATTTCTTTGCATTCTGTTTTCACTTGCTGTGCTGAGAATTCTGTGAAAATTTTTAGTTTGGAGACTAATATCATATCTCAGGTAATTTTGTTACCTCTATTTAAACAAAAAAAATTTTAAATACTAATTCTAAATATTGTACCTCCCAGATTAAGCCAATTTTCTTATCATTTGACCCCTAACTTCCAAGTTGCCTTTTTTCTGAGAGATTCTGTACTGATTTAACCCATTTAACAGCTTCTAAACTTCACTTTTAATATTTTTACTTTTGGAGAGCTCTTGTTCTCCAATTTTCATAGCATTCTGTCCTTGCTTTGTGGATGTAATGTCCTATTTTATTTCTTTGAGGATGTTAATCACAGTTTTGTGGTTTTTTTTATAAACTGAGCTTCCTTTTGACTTTGTACATTATGTGTCCTTTAAGGTTTTTCCAGATTCTCCCTCCACTCTCCACCTGTCTGCATTTTAAGGTTGCTTTCCTCTAGTGTCTGTTAAAGCTTCAACGTGCATTCATCTTTAAATGTGATATTCTGAGATGCTGATTGGAAGATCTGGGAAGAGGCAGCTCCTGTGACTTGGTGAACTTTATTATAGCATGGACAGTGAAGCCACTGAACAGCCCTTACAGTTGTGGGTTCCCAGTGTCGCGCTGAGGACAGCTGTCTTCTAGAGCCTTTGATTTTCTTGAGGAATGAGTGCCCCAGTTTCCTACCGGCAGTGGTAAGGGCAGTGCACATGGCCTTCTGAGGAACGGGTCAGCTGGATCTCCATTGAAACCTCTTCTTCACCTTGACTTTCTGGGCTTGCCCCTCTAAACAGTAACTAGTTTTTACAAATTTCTCCTACAAGGTCTAGGTTGGGAATGATCAGTTGATTGCAACAGGGAAAAGCAAGAATCTTGTAGGGTTTATCATCTGTACACAGACTTCCAGATAATCCCCCATCAGCACCTGCTTGCTTCTCTTTCTCTTTCCAAATTGCTCTTGGGCTCTTCTTCATGTTTTTTGTCTTCCAAAAAGATGTTGACATGTTTCCTTGCTCATGTCTCCTCTCAAATTCTCCTTTTAGGTTCTTAAATTTTCTACTGTTATGCTAGTGGAACTTTGCTAAGGAAAGGAGATAGATATACATGATCTGTTCAGTTAAACTAGAAATCTGCCTGACTGATTTTACACAGCAATAGATATAAAAATATTATTACATACTGCAAGATGCAATAAAATTTGGATATCCTGAAATAGTCCTAAGAATAAAGAATTAATTAGTATCACATTTTATGAATTCTGGAACCCAGAACTGTGTGAATCTAGGAAATCAAAAGTATCAAGTTCTCCTCCAGCTAACACTTTCGGAATATAAATACTTTTGCCATTTACTTAACTACATTCCATATCAAGATGGCATACCTTTAAATAAAAACATTTTAAAATTAAAAACTAGAACTCTATTTTCATCCCTACATGCCATGTGACTTTGAGCACACACGATTCAGAGTTTTTGTGATTTATTTTTAGAGGAGAACACTAAAGAATGGAACAACCACAGCCTGTTACTTTGGAACAATTCACACTGACTCATCTCTGCTCCTTGCGGAAATTACAGGTGAGCAGATGAAAACAGGATTCATGGGCACATCAAGCTAAGAGAGCTAGACCATGCCTGGCACCAACTCATACTTGTGGGCAGTCTTGCCTTTTCATTGCTAGAATTGCATTTTTTTTTACAGGTAATTAAGTGTGTATAACCGTGGTCCAGGAATGTTCTTTATTGTTTAAGTACTTTGATTAGTTGCTTATGATTTCTGGTTTAAAAAGGTTGTACTGGGATCTGAATTTTATATATTAAGTTAGGATTTTATAGGACAAGTTTACTAATCCTAGCCTTGGCAACAGTGTTTATTTCCAAATCAACAGATGCATTTTGGCTATTGACTAGACCCAGAACACTATGCTAGATGCTGGGAACACAGTGAAATAGGAAATAGTTTCTGCCCTTGGGGAACCAGACAGAATACCTACACACATTGATTAATAACTCCGGTAACATTTGTGATACTGTTACTAGACATCTAGCACTGTGCAAGTCACTCTGTATGGATTGGCTTAGCAGCTATCAGCCTTCTTTTATTTTAAGATTTTATTTATTTATTTGACAGGTAGAGTCACAGACAATGAGAAAGAGACAGAGAGAGTCAGAGAGAAAGGTCTTTCTTCCGTTGGTTCATTTCCCAACTGGCCGCAGTGGCCGGAGCTGCGTCAATCCGAAGCCAGGAGTCAGGTGCTTCCTCCTGGTCTCCCATGTGAGTGCAGGGGCCCAAGCACCCGGGCCTTCCTATACTGCCTTCCCAGGCCACAGCAGAGAGCTGGACTGGAAGAGGAACAACCGGGACTAGAACCGGCTCCCATATGGGATACCAGCGCCACAGGCAGAGGATTAACCTAGTGTGCCATGGCGCCAGCCCCATCTAACAGCCTTCTAAGATAGTTATTGGTGTCCTCATGTTACAGATGGATGAAATGATCACAGAGATCATGCCAAAGTTTCACAGCTACTAAAGAGAGCTGAGACTGGGTTCAGGTTGGTAATTCTAAAACTTGTACCCAGCACAGTGTGTGGCACATTACAAGAGCTCAGTACATGCTGTTGACTGATACACTGATACCATTGCTTGTTGGCTAAGGTAGTTTATACCAAAGGCCTTGATGTGTGATGCTAAAAGTTAGTATTATAGTTTTCAGAAGAGGCTAAGAAGAATCAAGACCAGGTCATCTGGGAAGACACCATGGAGAGGACCTTTATTCTGGGCTTTGGGGGGAAGATAAAATCAGGAGAGAGTAACATATCTTCTAGGCACAGGAAATTACATGAGCAGAGGGCTAGAGAAAGGAGTATCTACGGTGGATATGGCAACAGGAAGCAGAACAGTTTAACTGGAGGAGGGGTTCCATTCCATGGTGGGCTGGGAGAGGGGCCTGGGCAGATGGGATGGTTCTGATTTTGGAGGAGCTTGAATGTGTGCATCAAAGACTCAAAGAAGGTTTGAATCAGGTGAGTGAAATAATGAAGGCGATATTTTAAGCAATACTAATCTAATGGCCTGATATTAAAATAAATTACAGGGAAAAGAGAGAGGCAAATACTTTAGAAAGATTCTTATGACTGGGTGGTGATATTACAAAAATAATCACATTGACCTAGGTAGCTTCAGCCTCTTAGTGGAAACAAGAGTTCTTGCTAATAAGGACTAGGTTTTCCAGGGCTGAGAGATGCTAGTAGCACTCAGCAAAAATGCCTCCCATATAACAATAGTGGCATTGCTACCCTTTTATATACAGTACTGCATATATTCCTCATACCCTGCACGTAGTAGAAGACCCTGGGCACATATAGATCTCAGCAAATAATATCCTACACCCTTGGAGTAATCAGAGACATAAGGAATCCAGCCCATGTCTATTGAAACCCAGGAGCCATGTTCTACACCCTGCTGTGTTTTGTGTAAGAAAGGACCATCACAAAAAGAGAGAGACTCAATCCAAGGGGTGATGGTAGAGTAGAAGAATGGAGACTGTGATTCAGTTGGGTTTGGAGGGGGGATGGAAAAGAGAGAAGGAGAAGAAACAAAGTATAGCTATGTCAAGGACTGTTCAAGTGTTTTTCTGAAGTCTGTGACTGTCCCTCCTTTACCAAGTGCTCAAATGAGAGCAAAGCTATTTATGACTTTAGGAAACATACTGGCCAAAAGGACAACAGAGAAAGAGGACAATAGACCAATATCCCTGATGAACATAGATGCAAAAATCCTCAACAAAATACTAACTAATCAAATCCAACAATACATCAGAAAGATCATTCACCCAGACCAATTGGGATTTATCCCTGGTATGCCGGGATGGTTCAACATTCACAACTCAATAAATGTGACACATCACATTGACAAAACTGAAAAATAGAAACCATATGGTTATCTCAATAGATGCAGAGAAAGCATTTGATAAAATACAACATCCTTTCATGATGAAAACCTTACGCAAATTGGGTATAGAAGGAACATTCCTCAACACAATCAAGGCAATTTATGACAAACGCATGGCTAGCATCGTACTGAATGGGGATAAGTTGGAAGCAATCCGACTAAGATCTGGAATCAGACAAGGATGCCTACTCTCACCATTGCTAATTAATGTAGTCCTGGAAGTTTTAGCCAGAGCTATTAGACAAGAAAAAGAAATCAAAGAGATACGAATTGGAAAGGAGGAAGTCAAACTATCCCATTTGCAGATGACATGATTCTATATATAGGAGATACAAATGACTCTACTGAGACACTATTGGAACTCATAGAAGAGTTTGGCGAAGTGGCAGGATATAAAATCAACACACAAAAATCAATAACCTTTGCATACACAGATAATGCATGGCTGAGAAAGAACTTTTAAGATCAATCTCACTCACAATAGCTCCAAAAAGAATCAAATACCTTGGAATGAATTTCACCAAGGATATCAAAGATCTCTGCAATGAAAATTACAAACATTAAAGAACGAAATAGAAGAAGGCATTAAAAAATGGAAAAATCTTCCATGTTCATGGATTGGAAGAGTCCCAATCCAACCACATTCTTCACAGATCTAGAAAATGATGCTAAAATTCAGATGGAAACACAGGAGACCCCAAATAGCTAAAGCAATCCTATACAACAAAAACAAAGCTGAAGGCGTCACATTAGCTGATTTTAAGACATGGTACATGGGCCGGCGCCACAGCTCACTAAGCTAATCCTCTGCCTTGCGGCGCTGGCACACCGGGTTCTAGTCCCAGTCGGGGCGCCGGATTCTGTCCCGGTTGCCCCTCTTCCAGTCCAGCTCTCTGCTGTGGCCCGGGAGTGCAGTGGAGGATGGCCCAAGTCCTTGGACCCTGCACCCCATGGGAGACCAGGAGAAGCACCTGGCTCCTGCCATCAGATCAGTGTGGTGCGCCGGCTGCAGTGCACCAGCCATGGTGGCCATTGGAGGGTGAACCAACGGCAAAGGAAGACCTTTCTCTCTGTCTCTCTCTCTCTCACTGTCCACTCTGCCTGTCAAAAAAAAAAGAAAAAAAGAAAAAAAAAAAGACATGGTACAGGGCAGTTATAACCAAAACAACCTGTACTGGCATAAAAACAGATGGGTAGACCAGTGGAACAGAATGGAAATTACGGAAATCAATCCATGCATCTACAATTAGCTTATCTTCCACAAAGGAGCTAAAATCAATCCCTGGAGCAAAGACTATCTCTTCAACAAATGGTGCTGGAAAAACTGGATCTCTACATGCAGAAGTATGAAACTAGACCCCTACTTTACACCTGATACAAAAATCCACTCAAAATGGATCAAAGACCTAAATCTATGACTCAATACCAATAAACTACTAGAGAACATTGGGGAAACCCTGCAAGATATTGGCATAGGCATAGACTCCATGGAAAAGACCCCAGAAGCATAGGCTACTAAAGCCAAAATTGACAAATGGGATTACATCAAGCTGAAGAACTTCTGCACTACAAAATAAACACTCAGCAAAATGAAGAAGAAACTGACAGAATGGGAGAAATTATTTGCAAACTATGCAACAGATAAAGGATTAACATCCAGAATCTATGAAGAGCTTAAGAAATTCAACAATAAAAAAATAAACATTCCAGTTAAGAAATGGGCAAAGGATTTAAGCAGGTATCTTCCAAGAGAGGAAATTCAAATGGCCAACAGACACTTAAAATATGCTCAGGATCACTAGCCATCAGGGAAATGCAAATCAAAACCACAAGGAGGTTTCACCTCACTCCAGTTAGAAATCAACAAACAACAAATGCTGGTGAGGATGTGGGAAAAAAAAGGTACTCTAATCCACTGTTGGTGGGAATGTAAACTGGTACAGCCACTGTGGAAGACAGTATATTGATACCTCAGAAATTAGAATACAGACCCACCTTATGATCCAACCACCCCACCCTTGGGAATTACTCAAACCACAAGAGATCAGCATATGAAAGAGTGATCTGTACCCCCCCTGTTCATTGCAGTACAAATCATAGTAACTAAGATGTAAAGTCAGCCCAGATGTATATCAACTTTTGACTAGATAAAGAAATTGTGGTATATATACACTATGGAGTACTACTCATCTGTAAAAAAAAAAAATGCAATCCTATCTTTTATAATAAGATGGACACAACTGGAAATTTTATACTTAGTAAAATAAATCAGTCCCCAAACGACAGATAAGTTATGTTTTCTCTGTTCCGAGGTAATAGAGTACCAAAAATGTAGTGTATTAGAGTGAAAAGAACATTCTGAGATTTGATGATTGTTTACAGCTCTTGACTCTTCTGTTGAAGAACAGTGTTTTCTTCTTCATACTGTTTGTTGAACTCTTTTACTTAGTGTAGGGTTAACTTTGTGATTATTAAGTAAGCTGAAAATAAATCTTTGTAAAAATCAAGAGTGGGAATGTGAGAGGGAGGAAGAAGAAGGGTTGGAGCATGGTGGGGAGGGATGGTAGGGTGGGAAGTATCACTGTGATCCTAAATCTATAATATGAAATACATGAAACTTGTATAACTTTAATAAAATTTTAAAAAGAAAAAAAAATTCCAACTAGCAAAGGGAAAAGTGGAGTAATGAGTAAAACCCTCTCAATTATTACCTGGCCAGCCTAGGAGTGGGATGGAGGAGGTGGTGGGTTAAAATTTTGAATGACAGAAGTTTCACTATGTGCCGAATTTAATGGGGTTTTGTTGTTGCCTTTGTTCTTAAGTGGTAGGATAGTGGGCAATCTTTTCTACTCTCACTTAGGTTTTTCATAAGGATTTGAATTTCAAAATGCCTGTTAAAGGGTCACAAAAAGTACTGTTTAAGAAAGAAATGTGTCTTTAAGTTGTTTTATTCTTTCACAGATAAATTTGGGCAGAGGGCATTTGTGGGCAAAGTATGCATGGATTTGAATGACACTGTTCCAGAATACAAAGAAACTACTGAGGAATCCATCAAGGAAACAGAGAGGTAACACCCTCATTTGTCATGATTTGCCTTGAGGATGGGTACCTTTGCAGCACACAGGGAGTCTGGGATGGAGAGAGGAAACAAGATGCTGTTGTAATGCAATTGGGAAAGGTATGTAGTGATTCAGCCATTCTATTTAATGAAATGGGTCCAATGGTCTATAGTAAAACTGCTCAGTTGTTAATCATAATGATTTACAAAGAGCATTTCTCTGCAGTGCACATTTGATGCCCATTTAAATCTCTTGTCTTCTATAAGGAAACTGAATCTGACATAGGCTAAGTGACTTGCTTATGGTCATGCAGCTCTTAAGTGATGGAGCCAGGACTGAAAACCAGGCTCTGTGACTTTAAATCCAGAGTTCTTTCTACCATGGCATAGAGCCCACCTCACGTTTAATGGAGAGCAAGAGAAAGAAACTGTGCAACAGTGTTTGCTGTGATATATATCTTAAAATGTGGTAGAAGTGAGGAGTCAGCTATGAAATAAAATATTTTATAAAAAATCCAGAAATTTGAATTATACAGATTTATGAAAGAATCTCACTTAAAAAAGATTTTTTAAAAGTAGCAAATAGTGGGGGATCAGCATTGTGGCATAGCAGGTAAAGCTGGTAAAGCATCCCACATGGGTGCCAGCTGAGACCCTGCTGCTCCACTTCTCATCCAGCTCCCTGCTGTGGCCTGAAAAAACAGTGGAAGATGGCCCATGTCCATGTGTTACCGGGAATGGCAGGGTTCTTGTCTTTGCGCAAGAAAGAATTCAGGCATGAGACAGAGAGTAATGGAAAGTAAAATAGCAAGGTTTATTAGGGTAGGGACATCCGTAAGAACTGATGGGCACCTCTCCAGACAGAACCTGAGAGAGCCTCATCTACATTTAGGCCAGCAGTTTTTAAGGAGGTAGGTCTTTGTCTTCTCACATCTCCTTCTCCTGAAACAAAAGACTTTTTGGATGTAAATACAAAAAATTCCTATCTGAGTTTTCCCCTGAAGTTATCAGACAGGAGGAAGCCTGGCTGGTGCTGCCCTGGGTTAGAGGAGGGAATGAGCAGGACCCCTTGGAGGATCAGGATCCGGAGCAGGATACTGAAATACAGATATATTGAAATGCGGATTCTGGGCTGCACCTGGAAGATTATCAGGCAGAAGGGGCGGGTACCCCCACCTGGCAGGCTATGGGGCAGGAGGGGCAGGGCAGGATGTAGATAAGGTCATTGGGATGATCTTGAGATGCATATGCTGGACATAGACCTTTGTCACACACACAGAAGCTCATATCTGACTTCCTACCTAACACTTGGACCCCTGTTCCCACGTGGGAGACCTGGCTCCAGGCTTTGGATGGGCTCAACTCTGGCCATTGTGGCCATTTAGGGAGTGAACCAATGGATGGAAGACTTCTCTCTCTGCCTCTTCCTCTCTGTAGCTCTGTTTTTCTTTTTCTTTTTTTTTTTTTTTAAGATTTATTTATTTATTTGAAAGAGTTACACAGAGAGAGGAGAGGTAGAAAGAGAGAGAGAGGTCTCCCATCCGATGGTTCACTCCCCCAATTGGCTGCAACAGGTGGAGCTGTGCTGATCCCAAGCCAGGAGCCAGGAGCTTCTTCCAGGTCTCTCATGCAGGTACAGGGGCCCAAGGACTTGGGCCATCTTCCACTGCTTTCCCAGGCCATAGCAGAGAGCTGGATTGGAAGAGGAGCAGCCGGGACTAGAACCAGCACCCATATGGGATGCGGTGCTTCAAGCCAGGGCGTTAACCTGCTGTGCCCCAGCGCTGGCCCCTGTAGCTCTGTTTTTCAAATAAATAAATAACTGTTTTAAAGAAAAATAGCAAATAGTATGTACTCTCTCAGAACAAAACTTGGAGAAGAGTGAAAAGGAGTGAAAAGGAAAAATGTTCTCTGAAATTAAACCACTGGAAGTTCCTAGGATAGGAATTTTACTCGATACCTAAGGTGTTTGTTCAAGGTGGTATATGTCTCCGTTACTAGTATTTTGTACTACTGTGCCAAGAAAAAAGTTGTTCTAGATAATCTAGATTGTTTATAACATGCTCACATAGAGTGCATGAGTACACCCTCTCCAAAAACGTGGCTGAAAGGACAGCTTCCCGAGGTGAGGTGAGACAGACAGGAGCAAAGGCCCTGGCTTCTTTCCTGGCCTTGGTTCCATGTCTGTGTACTCCCAGAGCATGGGCCAGCACAAAGGTTCTGAGGATTTCTGTGGTGACGTAGAAGCTAGTGAGTGGCCATGCCCTGCTGCTGCTGCCAGATTAGAGCAGGGTTCAGCAGAGGCTGCTGATAGCCTGCTCTGGGGAGATCTCCACCTCAAAAAGTGGGGTGCTGATGCAGACAGAACGCTAAAACATAGGTGTGGACTGGGCGGATAAAACACAGGCCCATGTGCAGACTTGCAGCTGAATATTCATAACAGCTTACACACAGAAGCCAAATGTGAAGCAAGGTCACTGTGTCCCAGTATCAGTCCCAGAGGAGGACTGTAAACACCTCACCAATACACGTCCCCAGTGTCAGTCCACTTGCACGCACCCAGGGAGACAGAACACTCACATGACAAGTTACATGAAACAACTTTATTCCTCAGAGATATGAAGCAAAGGGCAATGGAAGCCCAGGATTCTTGGTGAGCTGGTTCCTGTGGCTCAGCGAAGTTGTCCAGGATGGGCCAACTGTCATCTGTACATGCCCCATGTCCTGCTGCAGCCTACAGAAAGAACTCTGAACTTAGAGTACTAAACCCTGGCTCTGCCGCTGAAAAGCTGTGTGACTGTGAATAACTATTTAGCCTATGTCACATTCAGTGTTCTTATCATAAAAGACAGATGCCATTTGGACATTTCTATGAGGACCACTAGTGCACTGCAGAGAAATACTCTTTGTAAATCATTGGTGGTTGGCAACTGTTTGAGCAAATTCCACCTTGAGTTTCATTTCTAAAATGTTGCAGGATATCTATTCTGGGAGGAACAGAGACCAGGCTGATCTGGCTAGTTCTTCTTTGTTTCAGGATGTTGCATTTCCAGTACATTCTACGGTTATTCTGAGAACTACAAGGGAAAAAGGGGAGATCTGGGTCACCAAGGGCAACTTGAAACTTGTCTTGCACCAAATAGTACAAACAATTTAAATGTCCTTCAACTGGTGAAAGGTTAAATACAATGTAATATACAACGGATTTAGCCCTAAAAAGAATGAAGTACTGCTGTATGCTACCACATGGATGAACTTCACAAAAATTAAACTAAGAGTAAGCAACCAAACATGGAAGTCCTTGTACTGTACGATTCTATTTAAGTGAGATGTATAGAAAAGAAAAATCCATAAAACAGAAAGTTGAATTAGAGATAGCCTGGAGATAGTGGTGGGAATAGTTGTTAACTGTATATGTGCCCCAAATATGATCTGAGGAACGAAAACATTAAAAAGCGTATTGGGATAATGGTTATGCAACACAGCAAATTTATTAAAATTAGTAAATTGTACACTTCAGAGAGATTAATTTTCTTGTTTGTAAATTATACTTCAATAAAATAGTTTTCAAAAATAAGTCTGTGGGATGTATGTTCCTGTATATTTGTGTTTTCTAACGCACATCCCCTTTAGATAAGTGTTAAGTAGACAGTGGTTATGCCTTGAAAAGTTTGCAAGGGACTTTTTTTTTAATGAACACTTTATCAAGTATAAATACTTGTGGAGACACTTTCAAAGACTTGAACTACCTATGATTTTCTCCTGTGGTATACTAGAGCTTCTTCTAGCCATCTTTCCTGTCCCCTGATATCATTTATTACAGCAACAATCAAAAAAAAAAAAAGGATTGGGAGTGGGGCCAGTGTTGCAGCACAGCAGGTTAAGCTGCCACCTTTGACACTGGCCTCCCCTAGCAGAGTGCCAGTTGGAGTCTCCTGGTTTCTCTGCTTCTAGTCCAGCTCCCTGATGATGCACCTGGGAAAGCAGTAGAAGATGGCCCAAGTGCTTAGGTCCTTGGCCCCCATGTGGGAGACCTGATGGCATTCCTGACTCCTGCCTTTGGTCTGGCCCAGCCCTGGTTGTTATGGCCATTTTGGGAAGTGAACCATTGAATGAAAGATCTTTCTCTCTCTCAAATAATTCTTTGAAATAATTGGCTGAGAAGCTCAAGATGTATTAACACACTCTGGAGTCTCCCAGTGCTGTATAGTCAAAGTGAAGGATGAACCAATGCATTAAATCATGCTCTCCATTTGCCTAGTCACTGTGCATTTACCCAGCTTGATGAAATTGATTTGTTCCTACAAAAAAATTTTGCATGACATGCTATTTTTGTTTATCATTATATTTTAATGCCTCCAAGAACTTGACACAGGTATCCTAGGATAAATCCTGTAAAATGAAGGATTCTTTTTTAAATTAAATGATTTTGCCCTCTCTGTCTCTGCATTATAGATAGGACTTCTCTTGTAGACTGGATTTGCTTATCAGTATATGTGACCTATTCATTAAATTGCTTTTGCTTGGGTTGGGGGTTCATAATATTATTTGATATCATGAGCTTTCATTAGGTCATTTTTCATATAACATTGAAATATTCTGATCATTTAAGTACTTTTCTTACATTGTTACATGATTTATACATAATACCTTGAGGATTTTGAGAGAGCAAGAGAAAGACAGAGAGACAAAATTGCCATCTACTGGTTCACTTGTCAAGTGCTTACAATGGCCAGAATGGGCTAGGCTGAAGTCAGGAGTCTGGAACTATGTCTCCCACATGGGTGATAGGAACCTAATTATTTGAGCCATCACCACTGCCTCCCAGGGTCTGCATTAGCAAGAAGCTGGACGCAGGAACCAGAACTGGATATAGAACCCAGATACTCTGATGTGGGATGCAGTTGTTTTTAACTGGCATTTTAACCACAAGGTTAAACACCCACCCCACACCTTCACAATTTAACAGCAGCTTTAATGTACTATGTTTAACATCTGAGAGATATAGGAGAAATAATTTAGATATAAATCTTTCGCAAGACCAAACCTTTCCTGATGCAAGGTTTTGAAGTCCAACTTTTTCCCCTGTCCCCAGTCCTCCTTTATCTCCTCTGTAAGGGCTCGGGGAGTGAGAAGATGGTGGGGCTGCTACACGCACGCTCATGAAGAGGAGGAAAGTACCCACCTTCCTGTTAGCATTGGGATATACCTGGCCATCCATTTTTGTGTGTGTGGTAATAATTGTGGCAATAGTTCATTGCATTTTATTCCAAAAACAAAGGAATGCCAGAAAGCAGGAAGCTATAGCTAGAAAGCCTTCCCAGTCAGGGCGGAAGTAGCCATTTCATGGGTTTCAGAGTTGTCACCAACCCCACAGGCAGAACTTCTAAGATCACCCATTCGCCCTTGTGCTTTGGGCTTACTCTGCCTTACTCTAATGCCCATCCCTCGTAGGACTCTGCCTTTGAAAATAAATGGTGATGCCACATGAATGAGTAGCTTGCACTTTAGAATCATTAGAAGTATAGAGGCCCATGGCTTCTAAATGCTTCCAGGTGCTTTAGGCTCCATGACTGTAATATCCACAGAGCATAACATATTGCAACATTCCCCTAAACAGAGCTAGAGCTAGTAGAACAGCTTGATTGCTGTGGGAATACTTGTAAACAGCCCAACTGATGCTAGATGATAACATGGCATTTCTCTCTGATTTTGCTCTCCATCTTTGGCTGCAAATGAAAAAGCAAAGTAATTACTACTTGTTAATCTTTAATTAGTGTTAGATGAAACATGTGCAGCTTAGAAATGTCTGCATGGAAATTAGGACATGTAAGGATCATGTTTTTACCCTTTATAAGCATTTATTAGAAATGCTTAAATTTCCTAACTCCCTTTTGTTTCTTTCTTACAGATTTGTGTCAGAGATGTTTCAAAGGAATGTAAGTATATCTGTCCAGAGCTTGCATTTGGATTGCATTTGTATTTGTTGTAGCATTCATTATTAAGTGTGATAGCAATTATTCTCTGTATACTGACTTACCTCATGTATGAAGAACTATTTTTCTAGAGCCTTAAATTGCTTTAAGAGTGGATCCATCAACTCAGCTTAGCAAAGTCATCCACTTTTTAGATTTTGAAATATTTAAATGACCAATAATTGTATATGTTAAAGGCATCCCATGTAATGATTTGATATATATATGTATGTGTATATATATATACACACACACACACACATGCATACATTGTTTCATGGTTATCAACATCAAATCAATTAACACATCCATCAGAACTCATACTATACATTAGACCCCAGAACTTGTTCATCTTATAACCGGCAATTTGCAGCTTTTGATCAACATCTCCGCATATAATCTAGCAGTCTCCCTTCTGGGCATGTAGCCAAGGAAATGAAATTGTTATCTTGATGAGATTCCTGCACCCCAATGTTCACTGCAGCACTAAAGCCAAGATGTGGAAATAAACTAAGTGCCCACTGGTGAATGAATGAATAAAGAAAATGCATGTATATACTCACCAAGTGGGATATTATTCAGCCATAAAAAAGAAAATCCTGCCATTTGCAATAACTTGGCTGAATCTGGAGGACATTATGCTAAGTGAAATAAGCCAAACACAGAAGCACAAAAAGTGTGTGATCTCACTTCTCTGTGGAATCAAAAATGCCAGACTTACAAAAACAGAGGTCAGGCATTTTTTGTTTTCCGTTGCAATATGGTGCAACTCTATACCTAGTCCTCTGTGTTTTATTTGGAACTCAGTTTGAAATCAGATATATGTAAATACGACATTTGTTTTACTTTTATTATTGCATGCACTTTCTTGGCCCCTTTCTAGGCCCTCCTTGCCTATAGGCAGCAAGAAACCTGAATTAAGTCACACAGGTAAACTTGGTCCTAAATTCATTAAGTTTTCAGTTGATCTATGAAAATCAGTTATTGCCCAATGTGGAGTCAACATTTTCAAGGTAGCTTTCCTCAGTGGTTTTCCTCCCTCTCCACTAGGACCTTTTAAATCACAAGACTGTCTCTGGGGCAGGGGAGAAGTCTGCATGGATGTGGAGTCTGAAAGCTGTAGGACTGTTCGGTGGCTGCCTCACCCATGGCTCTGCTCCTTGAGCTCCTGCCCTGTGATCTGGTCTGAAACGCAGGCAGTGCCCAGCCCTGATATCCAGGCCAGTGGCTGGCTTCCCTGGTCCTCATTCATACAGTTCATCAGAATCCTGCAGGCTCATGGCAAGGTCCTCCCCTTTGCAGTGCCCTTTTGGGGAACCCATGGGGGCAATGCTCTTCCCTGCCTCCACCCCCAGCAGGCTGGACTGTGACTGCATTGCATAATCTCTTACGGTGGCATTGCTGACCCTTTCCCTCCCTTCTTCTGAGGTCTGAATAAAAGCACACTAAACCTCAGAAGTCTTTGCATCTCATGTGGGAAGACTTAGTGGAATTTTGTAGTTCCTTATGCTCACCACCCCTCCATGAGTCCTCCTCTCCTGCCTGGCTACTCACTGAAGGTGACACAGATCTGATTCTGCAATGATGTAATTCTCAGTCCGTGCCAGTGCCTCCACGAGATGCAGAAAGGGGAGCAGGCCGCCCCTCCCTTCTGACCGCCCCAGCATTCTCCTTTAAACTTCTCCTCTGCTTCCAAGTCTCTTCACATAGGTCACTTAGTCTAGGCTTCATATAAGCTTTGATGTAGAGAGAGGAGTATCTGTCACTTGGACTGCTTCTTTGGTGGAACTTAGTGTTGTAAAATATACTCTCCCTTATTCTCAGCTGTGAGCTGCTTCCATGAAATCCGGCATTTCTGTTGACTCTTAGACTAGGGGTTGCCCGTCAAAATGAAGACAGAAAGTCATCCTGCTATGTGAAATGCATTTTGGGGTATGCTACACATTCATGATATCCAGTTTCTTTATCAATTGTTTTTGGTTATCTCCAGTATCCTAGAGTGAAACCCATAGTGACACCACGTTTTTCCCTTTCCTGCTCTGAGACTTTGTTGGTTGAACTTGGCAATATCGCTAAGACCCATGATTTGCACATTCAGGTGGGTATAATGCTTTGTTTGTGTCTGTATCTAGACCCACAATGTTTCTCTGTACCCTAAATCATAATCTCCAAGTCTTCTGCTGAGTAATCCATAATTATTCTACTGAGATCTCTGACAGTCATAGTATTACAGGACTGGAAGGCCCTTAAAAATGTCACCTAATTCAGTTCTTCAATTTTGCAGGTTAAAAATCTGAAGTTCCTTTTACCTTCAGTGTTCTCTGATCAATCTTTAAGAGATGAAGGCATCTTCATAAGTAATAATACTATTGACAATTTATTTTTTTTAATATTTATTTATTTGAAAGTCAGAGTTACACAGAGAGAGAAGAGGCAGAGAGAGAGAGAGATCTTCCATCCGCTGGTTCACTCCCCAGATGGCCGCTACGGCCGATGCAAAGCCGGGAGCCAGGAGCCTCCTCCAGGTCTCCCATGTGGGTGCAGGGACCCAAGGACTTGGGCCATTTTCCACTGCTTTCCCAGGCCATAGCAGAGAGCTGGATTGGAAGACGAGCAGCCAGGACTAGAACCGGTGCCCATATGGGATGCCGGCACTTCAGGCCAGGGTGTTAACCTGCTGCTCCACAGCGCCGGTAGTATACATCTAATTTATCTCTTTTCCCATTTCTCTTTAATTTATTATTTTCTTGGTACTTCATACCTTCATTCTGAGAGGAACCAGCTATTATTTGAAAAACAAAAAACTCTAATTTCCACCTTACAGGAATACATTTAAAAGCCTCTTTGTTCTGAGTTTCTTAATTTAAAATTAGGAACAAAAAAGTACGTCTTACTTTGTCATTAAATGGTTGCAATTTAGGAATAAAAAAATTTAAAGCTTACAGCTGGGTTAAAATTGGGAGCTCCCCTTCCCCCACCTAAGCTTAATTGCACAGTGTATTAAATTTCTCCTCCTAAGAGTTGGCTATCTTATATGAACAAGCAAGCTGAGACAAAAGCAACACATTGATTCTTCACTATGTTATAGAGGTGTTTTTTAAAGCTTAGGGCTCATTAACTATTCAAATACTCCCCATTATTATGTTTCCCCGTTGGTCTATGAAATTTGAATTCTCTCCAGGAGATCAAATTCAAAACTTAAAAAATGTTTGTACTTTGGAAATAGAATACTTTTGTTCCTCAAAAAATAAAATAAAAAATTAAAAATATATGAAAAATACAATAGAAAGCACACACAGCAAAATCAAGTCTGCACTTGCGAGGCGGATCTGTGTGGATCTATGTGTATTTACCCATATTTATCAACAGGAGATGAGTCATCGAGGTGTCCTTTCTCTTCCTGAGTGCATGCATTTCATCAGTGGTCTAGGATAGAGCTCATTGTTTCAGTGGAACACCTGTTTTTTAGAATATTACTGTTTTTTTTTAATTTATTTGTCTATGCATAAGAGTATTCTATCTTATGGAGAGAGAAAAATGGCATTGCAGTTCTTAGAAGTATTCATTTGTTCATGCATTGTTTCCTACAATATATACTCACACCAAGTGATTTGAAAAGTTTTTGTGTAGGCAAGGGATAAGTATGATTACTCTTTAGTGATACACACACACACACACACACACACACACACCACAATGGATGTGGGGGTGGGTGCTTAGTGTCCTAGTTAGGACACAACTGGGACGCTCGCTTCCCAATCAGAGTGGGTTGGAGTGTTGGCTCAGCTTCTGATTTTGGCTTCCTGCTAATGCACACCTTGGGAGGTAGCAGATTATGGCTCAAGTACTTGGGTCTTTGCAACCCATGTGGGACACCTGAATTGAGTTCCAAGTTCCTGGCTTCAACCTGACCCAGCCTTGCTTTGTTGGCATTTGAGGAATGAAAGATCCCTCCGTATCCATCTCTCTGCCTTTCAAATAAACAAAAATTTACAAACAAATAAATAAAACTCATGCTTTATCTTCATTGTCCTTCTGTATGGTACTTACACCAGAGAGCAGAAGCCAGTCATATCATTTTGAGGCAGGAAGTAAAAATTCTAATGATATTTTTCAGAACAAAAATATTATTTCTTTTCTTGCAGAGCCACATCAGTGAAAATCGTGATGAAATTGAAGCTGTGAAAAATTTATACCCCAGTTATAAAAACTACACAGATGTGTATGATAAAAACAAACTTTTGACAAATAAGGTAAATTGTATATGATTATATAATCTATATAAAGCAGGGCATATATACCTAATTTTTAAATTTCAGTAATAATCTTCAGATTATATGACATTACATGCATTTCTCAAAGTGGAAAATAGCCCAGAGTGTGTGTGTCTTTGTGTGTGTGTGTGTATATCCTCCCAGGGTAAATGTGTGTGTGTGTGCATGTGTTTGTGTCAGTGTCCTTAGTACTGGACTTAAGTTTCATCCCAGTCACTAAGCCTGAAGGCTCATTGAGGGCGGGAATGTCCAAGAGCATTTTGACAGTGCCATGTGAATGGACATTCCCCTGAGTCAGCAGATACATTTCTAAGGATCCATTCTATAAGGAATGTGAGTAGAGCTGTTATTTACATAAGAAAAATACCATCAATAGGAAATTAGTTAAATTATACAGCATATATAATTAGAATTGTGCCCAGCATTCACAAAGAATGAGGTGTAGCATGCTTACAAGAAGAGTGTGCAGTATTTTTTTTAAATGCACCTGATTTATTAGTGAATGTGACACTCAAAGATTATAAAGATTCATTTCCAAAGGAATTTTAAAAACACAAAAATTCAGAAAATTTAAACCATTATATCCAAGTTCTGAAGAAATGTATTTACATAATTACTTGTGCAGTATTGTTTAATGTGTGTGTAATATATGTATAGGGCGTGCTCACTTAGGAAAAAGTATTCTGGAAAACACACACTGTATATTGAAAATGACTCTTCCTAAGGGAGAAAGCAGAACTCTCTATTTTTATTTTAAATATGCTGAGAGTGCTGAAAATGAATATGTATTACTTTTATAATTGATTAAAATTAATATGAGTGAATAGAGACCTCATTACAATAATGTACCCTTTGCCCTTGGTCTTCGATGAAATGTACATAGTGCATGGAAAGTTCACTACAGCAAATAATTTCTTAGGGACTATGTGAATGGAGATATTAATGTAGCTGATTTGAAAGGTTAATACTCCGCATGAATCCTGTAAATGGTACATCATAATTTTCATCTCTGTATGCATATATTTCCATATAATTAATATATTAACCTTCAATTTGTGTGTTAATTTTATTTGCGTAAAAGTTGGAAAAGTTTTATTCCCAAAGGAGAAAGGTATTTAGATACAGGCTTTGCATTGAGGAAAAAGGGTATTATAAAGGGTAAAGTCTTATTCAAGAAAACCCAGAAATGTTACCAAGATTAAAAATTTAGCAGCCTTTCATATGCATGCAGTGTGTGCTATATTGGATCAGTTATACATTCTGAACTAGTGGTAATACAATCTTATATTTCCTAATTTTCATGAAAATGTAAACTTGGATTTATTGTGTTGTATATGTCAAGACCTTTGTTGCCTATTCTGTTAAAAGTAGGAGCAAGAATAAAGAACAACTCTTGACAGGATCACTCTTGTATCTTCCATGTATACTGCAAAGAGAAGCTTGCTACTAGAAAGTTGTAATTAGAACGAGAATAAACACAACCCGACCAACAGGTCACCATGTAGATTCAAAAAAGGAAGTAAACTTGACAATTTTCTAGAGTAGAAATAACAGAATCATAAGATCTTCAAACTAAAAGGATATCCTATGCTGTAGAATACCTACACTAAGCTTCATTATTTTATAGAGCAACAGAAAGAAGAAAAGCAAAATACACCAATTTGTTGAGACTTTGGTAAAATGATGTTTTTAAAAGACTTTTCTGATATATAACTTGCACCCAGAAATCTTGTTCATACAGCTAACCATGAATGGTCTTGTAAAGATGGTGATAGCCAAGTCACAGCTTTTGTCTTTCTGGGATATCTCGTTGCAAATATGAGCTTAACTGTTTGTAAGTGGTAAACCCCGTGTCGATGCTCTTCTCTCTAGACCGTGATGGCGCATGGCTGCTACCTCTCTGCAGAGGAACTCAACACGTTCAGCGAACGAGGAGCATCAATCTCACATTGTCCCAATTCTAACTTATCGTAAGTAGGCAATAATTGGTTGGTTGATTGTGAATGTTTTGTATTGCAGATTAACAGCTAGATACCTCTATTTTCAGAGGCATTTTTTCTAGGGTTTCTCTTTTATACTTATTAACACCAGCAGTGGCCAATTTCCCTAGGTCCTTTTTCACCAAGAGAGTAATGAATTATAGTTCAAAGATATGAAATAGGGATAGTAAAGCAAAGCTTATTAAGGTGCGTCCGGAGGGAGGAACAGGCTAGTCAAGAAACCACATAGCACACTTTCTTCCTCGTTTGAGGCTTTTAATCCCTAAGGTATAAGCAGTATTGACTGGTGACATGACCATGATGCCCATGATGGGCATTTTGATTGACATCTGAGAGCAGGGTATCTTTGGGCCCTCTGTGCATTCGGATATAGACCAGACTTTTCTGTTTGGCTTAATTCCCATTATATCAGGATACTTCAACCACACGTTAAACTGCCAAGTGAACAGTCTTGGGTGGGTCCTGGCAGAGAGCAAGGTCTTGGTTTCACACCCAAAAGAGGGTTTTGTGGTCCCTTCCTAGTCACCTATATCTAGTTATCTGTCTGAGAGTTATTGATTGGAACTACATAGAATTTTGTGATGTCATGGAGAAAGTAAGAGCACTTTAAAAAAAGACATTTTTGCAGAGTATGTATTTGAAGAGCACCATATCCCCCCAAATCTGTGAGTTTGTACAAAATAAAGGACAATAGGAAATATACCAGAAAGGGTCTAAAACAAATAACATTCATAACTATGGACAAGGACTGAAAGAATGTTTGTGGCAGCCAGATGTTCCGGGAAGAAGGTGCTGGCTCTTGTTATTGTTTGTGCTGTGGTGTTAGAAGGAAGTGCAGTGCTGTTAGAAGCCAGTGCCCCATGACTTATGTGACACTGCTGGATCTGGTGGGGTGCCAGCTCACATAGGGGAGTCCTCATGTTATTTCCATGAATACGAAAGCTTTATTTATAACCAGTTTTTAGATTTATGGATCTGTGATTGGATCAGATGAAAGTTATGGCCTGTAATCTTTAGAAGACAAGCCCGTCAATATAACACATTGTATTTAATATCAGAAAATTCATAGATCCTATGGAGCCAGTCCCTGGATGCTAGGTTAAAAACCTGTGCTTACACAAGGCCTTATTTGGGAGGAAGTCACAGAAAGTATCTTAAGGGAAGCAAGGCAAAGAAGGGGAGGAAGTTAATTAAGACTCACGTGTTGCTACTGTGTACTCCAGGAGTCTACCCCTTCTGAACAACTGAGGAAGCCAGTGTACAAGAAAGACCTCAATGTTACCCTGCCCAAGGAACAAGGGGGCTGGGGTGGTTATACCCCAACACTCATCAGTTTTTAGTGGAGGCTGCTGGGGAAGCAAGAGAAGCCCTGATTCCCTGGAACTTCTGGCCCTCCTCAAAGAAGGGCAGAGAAGGCTTGAGCAGCCTCTGGGCCCAAAGTCGGGGACTTGGCGATTCACAAAGTTGCATGTCAGTGGGAGCATGGGAAGGGCATCTAGAGTCACTGTGATGTATTTCTGGGTATTTTGAGAGTCCCCAGAAGCTCTGAGTTTTCAGACATAAAGTGACCACACAGGACAGGGAATTCTGCCTACATACAACTTAGCGATCCTAAGTATGTTCTACTTTACCCAAAGAGAAGGACTTACTATCCCTTCGGTGAGTTGTACAGCATTCTCTAAATTAAAATCTAATCCAGGGAGCCATTGCTGTGACACAGTGGGTAAAGCCGCTGCCTGCAGTGCCAGCATCACATATGGGCGCTGATTTGAGACCCGGCTGCTCCGCTTCCGATCCAGCTCTCTGCTATGGCTTGGGAAAGCAGTAGAAGATGGCCCAAGTCCTTGGACCCCTGCACCCACATGGGAGACCCAGAAGAAGCTCCTGGCTCCTGGCTTTGGTTCAGCACAGTTCCAGCCGTTGCAGTCATCTGAGGAGTGAACTAGCGGATGGAAGACCTCTCTCTCTCTCTCTCTCTCTCTCTCTTTCTCTCTCTCTCTTTCTTTCTTTCTTTCTTTCTTTCTTTCTTTCTCTCTCTCTCTCTCTCTCTCTGTCTCTCTGTCTCTGCCTCTCTGTAACTCTGCCTTTCAAATGAACAGATAAATCTTTTAAAAAAAATCTAATCCAGTTGCAAATTGAGGTTGGAAGTTAAATTTCTTTTTTTGAAAGATTTATTTATTTATTTAAAAGACAGAGAGGCAGAGAGAAAGAGAGAGGTCTTCCATCCACTGGTTCACTCCCTAAATGGCTGCAACAGCCAGAGCTACACCAATCCAAAGCCAGGAGTCAGGAGCTTCTTGGTTCTCCCACTTAAGTTCAAGGGCCCAAGAAGTTGGGCTGTCTTCTACTGCTTTCCCAGGCCATAGCAGAGAGCTAGATCAGAAGTAGAGCAGTCAGGACTGGAACCAGCACCCATATGGGATGATGGCACAGCAGGTGGCGGCTTTACTCACACCCTGGAAGTTAAATTTCTTAAGGACACATATCTGTTAAAGTGGTCACTGCTTGTGTTTCTTGAACAGCATTCAGAGATTTACTGTTTGTGTATTGGGGTTTTGGAAATTATAGTTATTTGTGCCTTGGAGCAAACCTCTTTGACCTTTGCATCTTCTTGGACTTCTAAAATCAAGTTAGTTTTCCTTTGTCTTTTTAGAAAGGCAGCACAACCATTAAGCTTAGGGTCGTGAGATTTGGAACTCAGCCTAGGAAGCGTCTGTCCTGGTCACTGCTGGTCTCAGAAGCAGAACTTGAACTGTCAGGTCCTAATCCACCAGCCTGCACCCGCTTTTCTAGGTGTACCCTCATCTTTGATTTTGCAAGTGTAGTCAAGGAAAGGAGTGATATCTTTCCTCGCCTATCACAAGAATCATGACCAACCCTCTAGAACAAAAGATAGATTAATAAAATAAGAAAAAAACATAATGAATTTATTTGATTGAAGTTTTACATGCAAGGGGGGCTTTAGAACAAAGACACAGAGAAAAGAGATATCTCCCTATTTGTATGCTGAGTTTCGAGGAAGCTTGGACGACCACGTAGAAATGTAACTGGACAAAAGATGAAATCTATTGTTGATAGACTGAGTCAGGGCACCCTGTAAGGCCTTTCTGTCCTGAATTCTCTTGGCCTTTCCATGTAGCATTTGTACCCTCTGGGTACCCCTTCTGAAGTGGGAGTCTTGGGCTTTCCTCTCAGACAAGTTAGGTCCCAGAATTTGTTTATGGCCAGCTCTAGGGAAGAAAGGCAGGGGGCTATCAGTATTATATCTTTAGGCTTTATATCTTGATTTGGTAGCAATGAGGGGTTCTGATGTCTATGAGCTGCCTTGGGAAGAGAAATTCTAGTTTTTATGGCTTGCCTTGAGGTGCAGGGTTTAGGGCAAGGAGGAGGAATGGGAACAGGAATGGGAGGATATGCAGGTCAGAGAGACCCACTTCCGAGCCCAAAGTGCCATACTTTTAGGATGATTTTTCCTAACACAAATCACTGGTCATTTAGGATAACAGATTATTCCAGATATGGAGGAAAGACAATGCTTTATAATTTCCACTTCCTAATACCAAAGGATGGATTGGTTTAAAAACTGTTCAAGCCAAATAAGGCTCTTATACTAATTGCAAGGTTTAATTGCTCATTTATTTTTCCATCCAAATGATGCCATGCTTTCCCTTCTGGCTCCTGCTCCATTGTAGCCTCCTGAGATCAATGTGGGCCAAGGATTACAATTTTTATGATCAGTTTTATTCCCAAATCTTGGATGGTCTGATTTGATATGTTTGTGTTGGTATTGGAGCTGATAAGATAGGAAATAAAATTTTCATTGTTACTAGTGTCCTTCTCTTTTTTTAAAAAAAATATTTTAAAAGTCAGAGTTACAGAGAGAAGGAGAGACAAAGAGAGATTTTCTGTTCACTGATTCAGTCCCCAGATAGCCACAGTGGCCAGTGGTAGGCCAGGCCAAAGCCAGGAGCATCTTCCAGGTCCCCATGTGGCTGGCAGGAGCCCAAACACTGGGTCCATCTTCTGCTGCTTTTCCCAGGCCTTTAGCAGAGAGATGGGTCAGAAGTGGAACAGCCAGGACATGAACTGGTATGCATATGGGATGCCAGTGTTGCAGGCTGCAACATTACCTACTGTGCCACAACAGTGGCCCTGCTGGTGCCCTTCTTTTGCTAGAAGCACATGGATCTCTTCATTCTGACATCTCCTCTCTCCACAGGCTCAGCAGTGGCTTTCTAAATGTGCTCGAAGTCCTGAAGCATGAAGTGAAGATAGGGCTGGGAACAGGTCAGTGGTCCACCCTTTGGAACTCCTGCAAAGTTGTCAATGTGTGCATCCATTTCTTATGTGACCCATGTGCAGGTTCTAGGCTTTTTTAGGAAACAGTTTTGTTACCTGGTAGTGAGTCTTCATAATAGGTAATAAACAAAATAATGCTGTTGCAAGCAGTAAGAGATGATATGCAAAGGGAGAAGTTCTCATAGCACTAACCACCTGAAAGCCATGATCCCTTGTTAATGCTCATCGGTTGGAAAGGATCATTCCTTCTGAAGTGTTGGAGAGATTGTTTTGAAAAAGCCCTTGATTGTTGCTCCTTTTGTTTTATCCTTCCGGCTAGATTTTAATGGTTTAGATTTGTACGCTTTCAGTAACTTTGTCATCAAAAATACTGTTTCAGAAAAGAATTATTTGACCTTGCCAAAGTGATCACAAATCAAATCTGTGCTAGCCTTGAGAACTCTGAGAGAGGCTAAGAAGTGACTTTGCTTTCAGACAGTGTTTAGCCAAATGAGACTGCGATTTCCATGGGCAGTTGATGTTTGCTAGGCTGAAGGACGTCCTAGGTGGCTGATGAATTAGTGATGCCTCCTTTCTTCATGGTCCATTGTAACTGTCTTCCCTGGGTGTGCATGGCGTTGCTTGCTTTGAAAGCAAGTGTGAGTCAAATGTCCAGGCGTCTCCTGTGAAACTTTCTTTTTATTACTGTGTGTGATGGAGCTGAAATTTTTTTTTTTAATGGGCTTAGGTCTTGAGAGCTTCTTTTCTGTTCTTGGTGCCTTTGTCTTCCTGATATTTAAGAGCATTAGATGGTGTGTCTCTGACACGCATGGCTTTGATCATTTTCTGAAATAACTCTCAGAATGTTACAATGGCACATTTTATTCCAAAGTATAAATTATAAGAAATACAATAATATATGTAATACTTTCATTCATGTTTTAAAAAGTTATGTTAAATTGGAGGGTTTTTGCTCAATTTTACATGAATCAAAATGAGTTAGGGTTTGAAAATCTAATTTAGAATCTGGAATCATTGAGAATGTGGTAATGTCTTGATACGTCATAGGTGTTAAGGCAGGAAACCAGTTTCTTTAGCTTTACAGAGAAGTGTTGCAGGATAAGAAAATAAAATGGACATACTGTAATCAGCTAATATGATAAATTTGACATTAAAAACTGGTTAATATTATTTTCAAATTTTCTAGGATTTTGGTCTCCATGATTTAAATTCATTACATAATTTCCAATTCTTGATTTTGGATTATATAACACTCTCCTAAAGAAAAATCTCTAGCTATTACTCATTAATCGTAAGACCTTGAGAAAATCACTGAATTTTTTTAAGGGTTCATTTTCTGATTACTGCTATGACAATAACAGCAGCATTATAATAGTTAGCTCTCAGGCTTGTATTAAGAGAAAATACGTGCAAAGTGGTTAATACAGTGCTTGGCACATAGTACCAGTTGATAATATTGGCCTAAGAAGAAAAGAGCAAGATTGGTGTATTGACTAAATGTTTGATCACATATGACGTATAAGCTTATTAATTTGTAGAATGCTGTTTCATTTTTTCTTTTTCTTTTTTTCTGTTTCTGTTTCATTTTTTATAGTTTCCAATGTAGTAACTGCCCTATGCCCTGCTATTCCCAAACATGACTTGTATTTATCAATTTTCCCTTCATTTGTGGACTTTAAATGAGTATTTAACCTTGTACTATGGATTCATAGCTGGTCCAAGAGCAGTTTATTTTCCTTGTCTTCAACAAATGTGGGCAGATCTTGACCCACTCTGGTATGAGGTAGGAGAAACCCACATGAAACTTACCAAAAACATTGCAAAACAAAAGACAGAAAAATCAAAAAGAGTAGCAGTGTGAGCAAACATCTCAAATAATGTACTTTAGAATACAGAAGAAAGGTTCAGAACATTCCCATCATCCTTGGAGTACAAAAAGACATGGCACTATGGAAAGACCCAAAATTGTGATGGAAATAGAAATTTTATAAATGAAAGAAAAAACTGAAAAAAAAAATCAGGATAAAAGGCATATAGACTCTTGTACACTGCTGGAAAGATAATAAATAATACAAGCATGGAAGAACTGTTTGATTTTTTTTATTCTGAACTCTGTAGCTCAGTAAACATTTTCCTTTTGGAGGATATTGAAAATTAGTTTTCTTTTAAAAATTTTTATTAATACAAGGAGAAGCAGTTTCCTGTATTTCATTTTTTTTTAAACTTATTTGAAAGGCAGAGCTACAGAGAGAGGTAGAGGTAGAGACAGCAGTCTTCCATCTACTGGTTCACTCCCCAAGTGGCTGTAATGATCAGGGATGGGCCAGGCCGAAGCCAGAGCCAGGAGTTTTATCAGGGTCTCCCACATGGGTACAGGGCCCCAAGTACTTGAGCTGTCTTCCACTGCTTTCCCAGGCACATTGGCAAGGAGCTGGATTGGAAGTAGAGCAGACAGAATTGGTGCCCATATGGGAAGCCAGCATTGTAGGCATTGGCTTAACCCAATATGTCATGACATGTTAACCCCTCATAGTACAATTCTAAGATAACCATATTTCCCTCCCTCAATCTCTCTCTTTCCTTCCTTTCTTTTTTTTTCTTTAAGTTTTGTAAAAACATAAAAAATATATATCTACATAGGACCCAACAATGCCATTCTTAGGTGTCTACCCTAAAGAAATGAACATATATATTTGCCAAAGGAGTTGTACAAGAATATTTCTACAGTTTTATTCATAATAGTCCCAAACTACTGGGGACCAATCCAAATAGTTGTCAGTAGGAGGATGGATAAGCAAACTGTTGTACATTCATATAATGGAATACTACTCAGCAATAGGAAGGGAAAAAGGAAAGAAGGAAGGAAGGAAGGAAGGGAGGGAGGGAGGGAGGGAGGAAGGAAAGGGGGTGGCACAGAGTGGAGGGAAGGGGGAAGGAAGGAAGAGAAAGAAAGAAAATACATTACTGATTATGCAAAATATGGATAAATCTCAAAAAGTATTTTTCTAAGTTAAAAAAAAAATCTATGTGAAAATGGCATGCTCTCTCTCATTTCATATGCCTGAAGCCTAAATAGTTAACTAAGTAGAAAGTAGATGATCAACTGGAAAAGGCCATGGGACAACTTGCTGAAGTGATGGAAAAGTTTGATATCCTGTTCTTTAGAGGTTGGTAAATCTATATATAATTGTTCATATTCATGAAACTGAATGAGTTCTGTGCATTTTATGCTATCTTAATTATAACTCAATTTAAACATGATGAACAAATCCTATAGGAAACTATAAGAAATAGAAGTACTATTACAGAAAATCAAGTCAGTGACATGGAGAACAAAGTCGACCAAGTGTTTGCAGATGACCCATGGGGAGGGCAGAAAGCCTAGCACCAACCCAGGGGGCTTTCTGATGGAGGACCCAGAACACATGGAACAGAAACAGCAGTCTGAGCTCTGACAGACTGCTGAATTTAAGAGATAACTGTAGAAACTACTTTGCCTGTTCTCCACTAACTCGTGAACACGAACATGTTGTGGCAAAATATTTTAATTGGAAGAAGAATTACAAAAAGAAAAAAAATACTTCCTAAAGCACATGGAGGAAAAGTCAATTATCAACAAAACAATTAAAAGCAAGTTTACTTTCAAATGTTTTTCTTATCCCACAAAATACCAAAAGGCAAGGAAGAATTTAGAGGCGATGTTTAGTTGTTAGTCAAGAATATTCTGTCTAGACAAATTTTCCTGCATGTGGGAAGGCAACAAATTCTCAGATATACAAAGGCTGGGAAAACATTCTCCCTATGAAAAAATTACTTGAAAACCCACACCATCCAGTGAGCATTAAGGCAAAATGAAGAGCTATCATAGAGGGAAGTTATAGTTCAATAGGATGTCAGGAAAAGCTCAAATCAAAATACAATCAAAGATTCCAAAGCAGTCTAAAAATGAAAGCCAAAACCAAATTATAGACAGGTTGTACAATGTTGAACGTTATGTGTGTGTGTATTTTTTTAACTGTCAGAATTACAACACAGATCAGGAAGGTATTTTCCTTCAGGCTCAGAAGAGCCTCCTGGGATCTAAATACATGATACTTATTTTTGAGACTGAGTGTCAGGACCTTAACAAAAATCAGTAAGCTGTAGTTTATGTTTAAAGTTGAAATAATAACAGTATTTGGAAAATGGGTGCAAAATCTCAATTCTTTGTCTCAGAAAAAAAGGAGACTTTATATTTCATATTTGTCTTTGCAATATGAAAATATTAAAGATGATTACTTGAATAATTTTAAGAGCAGGCTACCTCCTATGTAAAATATGAAAAGAGCACACAAAGGAAACATAGCAAATAAGCAAAACCCAATAATCTGAAGGGAAAATGTTTATATAAATGAGACTTGCACATTCATTAAATCCAACATACATGGAGCCAATGTCTCACTTTTCACTGACAGTTCCCTATCCTAACTTTTTTGTTCCATGACACCAAAGCACAATTCTTTGATCTCCTGGTAGATTCCAATCCAGTGATTCAATGTTTTCTCAAAAACCATTATTCTCTGCCTAATTTACCCATTTTTGAAGCCAGGGTACATCACTATAATCATTCCCTTAAAAACATCTTTGCTTTTCAAATCCTTCTCATTTTCCTTGCATTCGCTTTGCAAAAACCAAACCCTAGGTTATTTCCGTGATTCCCCATCTCAATGCCTGCAGCTGAACATCTGGAAGTGGCTGGAAGCCATCCTCCAGTGGGGGCTTCATTTTTAAAAGAAAGCTTGTATTTAATGAATACAAATTTCATAAGTACAGCTTTAGGAATACAGTGGTTCTTCCCCCCATATCCGCCCTCCCACCCCCACTCCCACCCCATCTCCTACTCCCTCTCCCATCCCGTTCTTCATTAAGATTCATTTTTAATTATCTTTATGTACAGAAGACCAACTCTATACTAAGTAAAGATTTCAGCAGTTTGTACCCAGACAGAC